TTGTTCTCCTTGGCCTCTGAGGACAGGACAAGAAGCAAGGGGCTTAAACTGCAGCAAGGGAGGTTTAGGTTGGACGTTAGGAAAAACTTCCTGCCTGCCACTTTATTATTTTTGTGCTTTTTACACCCAAAAATGTCATCGCCTGTCCAGCTATGATTAAGTTGTTTAAACAAATGTGTTGCAATGGTAGAAAAAAAACTTGTGTGTCTGAAAACTGTAGGTACTGGGGGGGGTCTTATAATTTTTTTTATAAAAAGGGGTACTTTATAAAAAAAAGATTGAGAAACACTGATCTAGACAGCGCTTGGTCCCGCCGCGAGGGCAGGGGACTGGACTCGTTGACTCTCGAGGTCCCTTCCAGTTTTATGAGTCTATGAAGAGTTAATCTGGCCCTGAGGGTAAAGCACTGAGCCTCAGTGACCCTCCCCCCCATGGGGCTGGGGACCGAGGGGAGTGTCTTTTTTCCTGCTTCTCAGTTGGGGTCATACCTGTGGGGTGTTTTCTCCTTCCCACGGGGGGCGGGGACAGGTCAGTGAAGGTTGGGGCTTTGTGGGGTGGGTTTGTGCTCCTCACTTGTGCGTGGCCCGACTGATTTTTCTGTGGATCAGTGGCCTCTGAGCTGTCCCCCGCATTGGAGGCTGTTCAGCTCAGTGCATTGCTGTGGAACAGTGGAGCCCAAGGAGAGCTCCGCAGGAAGACGCTTGTGTGGCAGCTGATGACTGTTCTGTATCCCAAGTGGGCTGCGCCCACGGAAGCTCATGGCACCACCATCGTGTTTTGTTCGTCTCTAAGGTGCTGCAGGGCCATTCGCTGGCTGGTAAGTTTCTCTGTAGGCGTGGTAGTCAGGCCGAGCGAAACACAGCCCCTGGGTGTGGTGGGGTGGGAGGGCGGAGGCAAGAAGTAGGGAGAGCCCCGGGGAGCATGTGGGAGAGGCTTGCTGGCCTCCTTTGCAGAGGAGCTAGCTGGTCTGTGAGCGCCTGGGGCCTTGCTTGTTTGGGGCGAGGGGTGTGCAGTTCTCAGTGATAAGCTACTGCATGCCCCAGTGCCAGCTCTCCGCTGCTTCTGAGCAGCCTGCAGGGCCATGCCGAGAGGTCTCTGGCTGAGCAAAGCAGAGAAGCCGGTTTGGGCAGGGAAGGCTCATCCAATCCCAGCCCTCGCTCACAGAAGGCTGGTTACTAATTACCTTGGGCAGCAGGAGGGAGAGGCTGGAGCTGGCTGCCGATTGGGTACGAAGGTTACAAGTGGATTTGCGCTGAGAGTTTCGGAAAGGAGCTGAGTTCCTCTGGAAGGGCCCAGGAGCACTGCGGAGAGGCGGCTGCAGGCTGGGCACTCTGCACACCAGGGGGAACATGTGCACTTACCCCAGGGCCAGAGACGGGGACAGAGTTCCAAGGAGGGAACCCCGGCTCCTCAGCTGGGAATATGAGCACTGCAGCACGCTGAAGAAAGGGGACACGGTGGAGGTGGACAAGCTGTACACAGACCACGGCTGGAAGGACAAATACCGAGCAGAGGGGCAGCGTGCGGACTCCCGGGCACTGGGCGGGCAATGGGAGCCTTCTTGGAAGCATGGGAGAGTAGAGGGGCACTACAGGGAAGATAGGAAAGGAGGTAGGCAGTATATGGACAGTAGGAGAGCGGAGCGTGACTGTGGGGATTCCTGCAAGGGAATAAACCAGTATAGGGATGATGAAGACTATGAGAATTATAGGAAGGGCGTTATTGGGTATATGGATCACAGGAGAGCAGGCGGGGACTCTAAGGATTGTGGGAAAGATGATACTAAGAGTGTGAACTGTAGGAGAGCAAATGAGGCTTCTAGGAAATCAGGTAGCCAATACACAGAGGATGAAGACTATGGGAGTCATAGAAAGAAAAGTGTCCAATATCTGGACCACAGGCCGGCAGATGGGGACAGAGATTGTAGGAAGGCAGAAAGAAAGTATAGCGAGAATGTAGATTATGGAGATCGTAAGAAGGAAGTTGTTCAATATGTGGATCACAGGAGAGCAGATGTGGATTATGGGGGTTACAGGAAAAATGACACTCAGTATACGGACCGCAGGAGAGCAGATGGGAACTATGAGAATTACAGGAAAGATTATACTAAGTATATG